CCCAAACCCCGCTGCCCCCCACCTCTGACCGCCTCCCGTGTCCCCGCAGTGCTCCACTCCCTGCGCTACTTCTATGTTGCGGTGTCGGAGCCAGGCCCGGGGCTTCCCCAGTTCGTAATCTTGGGGTACTTGGATGGGAACCCCTTTATGCGCTACGACAGCGAGACGGGGAAGGTGGAGCCCCAGGCAGCCTGGATGGCGACCAGCGTGGATCAGCAGTACTGGGACACCGAGACCCGGAACTTTCAGAGCCATCACCAGCTTTACCGCGTGAACCTGGATATATTGCGGGCCCGCTACAACCAGAGCAGGGGTGAGTGGGGGCTGGGCTGGGGCTCCGTGGGGCTGGGGTGGAGCTGCGTGGGCCAGGGGAGTTCACACCCCCAAGATCCTGCCCTGCCCCACGCTGCTGCCCCGGCTTGGGCCGGCCCTTCCCTGCCTGGGGTCATTGTCAGGGGGCTCCCAGCCACCCTGTCCCAGCCCCTTGCCACCCCCACGGCAGTCGAGACCCCCAGAAGCAGAGGGGCCCCCACCCGCAGTGTCCCAGCCCCTTGCCCTCCCCATGGTGCTCCGGCCCCCATCCCAGAGCCAGCAGGGCTTCCCCACCCCATCCCATCTCCTTGTGCCCCCTCCAGCATTTGGGAGCCATGGCAGCCCCTTGCTGTCCCAGGGTGCCGTGGGGCTGGGTGCCGGCCCAGCCCTCTCCTGGGTGCCGGGGGTCTGCATGACGGCGTTACGTGACAGCCCGAGTGCTGGACGGGGGGCAGCTCTCGTGCCGGTGCCCGATCCCCGTGGGCCTCATCCAGGGCTGGGGTGGGGGGTGCTGCCGGGGGCTCCGTGCCCCACTGAAGGCCCGGGGCTGCAGCCGCCCCTCAGCCCCGTCTGCCTGGTCGCGTTCCAGGGGCTCACACGCTGCAGCGCGTGTATGGCTGTGACCTCCTGGAGGACGGTAGCACCAGGGGGTATTGGCAGATGGGCTACGACGGGAGGGACTTCATCGCCTTCGACATGGACACGATGACGTTTACTGCGGCCGACGCGGTGCCACAAATAATCAAGCAGGAGTGCAAGGAGGACGGGACTGAAGCTGAGCGGAAGAAGCATTACCTGCAGAACACCTGCATCGAGTGGCTGAGGAAATACGTGAGCTACGGGCGGGCCGTGCTGGAGAGGAAAGGTGAGGGCGAGGCGGGGACCCCGGGGACCGGCTGCTGTGGGTGCGTGTGCCGGCCCTCACCGCCTGCCCCTCCCCAGAGCCCCCCACGGTGCGAGTGTCGGGGCAGGGGGGCCACGGGGTCCTGACCTT